TGTGATAGAATTAGAAAAAACAATCCTAAAATTCAATTGGAACAAGAAGAGGCCTAGAATAGCAAAGGGAATTCTAGGCAACAAAGGCAAGGTAGGTGCATCATAATCCTTGACTTGAAATTATACTGTAATACTACTGTGATAAAAACAGCATGGTACTGAGGGAAAAAAAAAAAAGAAGTGAAGATCAGTAGAACAGACTAGAAAATGTAGAAACAACTGTAGATGTACTCAGCGACCTTGTCTTTTGCAAAGGAGCCAAACACCTTTGCTGGAGGAAAGATAGCCTCTTTAATAAATGGTACTGGAAAAATGGTGCTCGAAATGGCTCTGCACATGCTGAAGATTAATATTGTACCCATATCTTTAACCAGGCACTGAATTAAATTTGAAATGGATCAAAGATCTAAATATTAAAACAGAAAAATTAAAAACTCTTGAAGACATTAGGCAAAGGCTTTATGAGTAAAACCCCAATTGCACAGTAACTATCATAAAGAATCAACAACTGGGATATAATCTTACTAAAACCTTTGCACAGCAAGAGAAATCACTAAGAGAGTGAAGAGACAACCCACAACTTGAGAAAAAATATTTGACAGCTTTTCCTCAGTCAAAGGACTACTATCAAGAACATATAAAGATTTCAAAAAAATCAGACTTCCCAAATTTAAAGACCCCATCCAAAAATGGCCATTGGAGATGAATACATACTTCTCAGTTTAAGAAATACAAACAGTAAATAAATATATGAAAAAATGGTCAACATCACTGGTCATTTGAGAGATAGAGATTAATACTGAGATTCCATCTTACCCCAGAAAGAATGGCTATTATCAAAAAATTGACCAATAACAAATGCTGGAGGGGGTGTGGGGAAAAAGGAACCCTTCTCTACGGTTAGTGAGAGTACAGACTGGTGCAACCACTGTGGGAATCAGTGTGAATATTCCTCAAAAAACTAGAATTGGAGGTCCCGTTTGACTCAGCTATTCCCCTTCTGGGTATCTTCTCAGAAGAATTAAAAACATCATACCACAGTGATATATATGCACCCATGTTTATAGCAGCACAATTCGTAATAGCTAGATGTTGGAAACAACTGAAACGCCCATCAACTGAGGAATGGATAAAAAAGATGTAGTTTTTTTTGTACAATGGTGCCATAAAGAAGGATAAACTTGAGACTTTTACAGTTAAATGGATACAACTTGAGACCATAGTCATAATTGAAATAAACCAGATGCACGTGTGTAAACATATTTTCTCCCTAGTGTGAGAAGCTGAAAGAGTAAATAAGAACCAAAATGTATAATACATATTTTAAAATGGGAAGAAACTGTTCAAAATGAGAAACTGGGATGGAGGAAAGGAGAAAAGGAGGAAAGGAAAAGCAAAAAAAAAAAAGTAAATATATATATATAAAATTCCTCTTAGCTCATTGAAAAGAAAGGTTTGTGCTAATATTGTTTGGACAATTAAATGCCTATATCTTGTACTCGGAGTAACTAAGTTAAAGATAACAATATGCAATGTATTAACCATTGTTACTCTCCTACTACCTTGTTTTGAAATTTTGTTTTACTTTTTATTTTTCTTTGTTAAAAATAAAAAGGAAGTCCTGTGGGCAACTTACTTACTTTTCAGTTTTCTTATCTGTCAGAGAGGGAGACTAATACCTTCCTTACCTATTTCATAGTTTTTTGTTGATCAGTAACAGACTCAATTTGAAAAGGCCTTGAAAAGCTGGAAAGAATGACAGCAACAGCCACTGTTGTACACGTGCTGAACCTGACACTGTGCCACATTCTTTGTTACGGACTGCAGTGCTCTCAGGGGTAGTTAGTACTATATTTTGAAAGTCACTCATAACAGAGGGAGAAATATAGATAAGGTATTTGAGGATTTGAAAGGGAAAAAGTAATTTCTTCTGGCTGGGGTTTAGGAAACACTTCCTGGTTACGGTGATATTTTGGCTTACTCTTACAGCATTTGTGGAAAATATTGCCCTAGTGGCACAGCCATGACCTCTTATGTACCATTCATCTAACTATAGAACAATCTTCATTGTGAGTGAGTATATTGTGTTTGGATTCAAAATGCCTCAGGCACATAGTTTGCTGTTGGCTGCCCCATGCTATTCTCTCCACTAGATGAGAGGGAAGTTAGACAGCTTCATTTTCTTCTGGGAAGGTAGATGCTGGTTTCTCCATTGGCTTCTGGAGGGTACCCTGCCTGGTGGAAAGGAGGACCGTACTGTCCTCTACTCAGTAGTGTGGACATGGTGATCCCAGTCTTTGCTTCCTAAGCCTAGCACGCTGTGGTATGCAGTGGTGAGAGCATCGTAAAATGACTTGTGTATTTATAAGTCATTTGCATCAGTTCTTGAGCTGAGTTCTTAGTTTTGGAGTATTGTGAGGATTTATTATAACAATCTTTAAAGGAACTGAAGCCAAATACTCGGCCTCAGTTTGATTCTTCTTATGTACATAGGTATTTCTGCCGTAATACTATTTATGTGCTTATGTAATAGCTGCATTTTGAAAGAACCCCTTGGGGTCTACAGACTCCACCAGAAATCTGTGTCGTTTTCTAATGTGGATCCCACAAGACTTAATGAGTACCTGAGGAGAGGACTTGTGCTGCTTGGGCATACCTGGTATCATTGACTCTACAGGTATTGCGGTACACAGGACCGAGAGCCTGTGCTTAGCCGGGCCACCTGAACTTGAGTAGGGCAGCAGGTACCCGAGTGCACAGGTGGCTGTCGAGCCCTGGGCCATGACTGGTTTGGGCAGGACACAGGGCAGGTAACAGGCCAGCGGTGTGCTGGGGATAGGCCCTGAGTTCAGGCATACGTTTTAACAATTCTGAAAATACGTCCAAAAGTGCTCCTTTGGCCACCACAGCCCCTGTATGTAGGACTTCTCCCTTGGTTTCTGAAGACCCTAATTCTCCACCCACTTCTCAGTCTGGCCAGGAAAAAGTATGTGCACGAAAATGACTTCCGTGATATCCTAACTTATTTTCCTGTTCATAGATACATCTGTGTGGCAGGTCAGCTGTGTTCACTTCCTAGTCAGCCCCTTCCTTAGGTGCTTACTTTCACACCTCCATTCCCTTGCTCCTAATGACCAGCGGCAGCTTAACACTGGACTTACAGCTTCCCTAGTCCTGTTTTCTTCTTCGCCTTGAGAGTAGCAAGACAGGAGCATACCTTGAGAAACAGTTGTCTAGGACAGTGCTCTGGGGAGCACAGAGCCTAACGCAGCGTGTGGACACGTGCTGTTGGCAACTAGGCAAGGGAAGAGAGGGAAAGTTTGGGCTGGAGTGGAAAGTGAGTAAAGCAAAAGCAAGAAGAGAAGGAAAGGGAAACAAAACTAAACTACAAAAATTGGCACTATTTTAAATACTTTCATTATTCAAGGTTAACCATTTGGGTAAGGTGGTAGAGAAACGCATCTTAGTGTCTGTAATCAGGAAGGTAGTAGGTTAGATACTTTGTGATTTGCATGGAACTAATTTATTTTCATTAAAAAGGACAGAGTAATAAAAAACATAATTGTATATACCACCTAGAGTTAATAACATATGTTAATCTTTTGCCTTTCTGCTTCACATATTTTTATAATAAAAACAGTGTGACAGATAGATTTGAAATCCCCTGGCTTCCTCTTGGTCGCGGTCTTTCTTTCCACAGACAGCAGCTGCTCTGGCTTTTCTTGTGTCCTTCTCCTCCGTATTTTATACTTGTATGATGTGTGTATCTATAAACATCATTAGGATTGAACCCAGTGTCTTCCTGATGAACTACACCCCCAGGCCTTTTTAATTATTATTATTTTTATATTGAGACAGGGTCTCACTAAGTAGCTCATTTGACAGTTGTCCAGGCTGGGTTCAAACTTGTAATCCTCCTACCTCAGCCTGTCAGAGTGCTGGGCACAGAGGGGTGCACCGCCATACCTGTTTTTGTCTTTTATCTGCGTGAAAGGTACATATCTTGTTTAACCCCTCTTGTTTTGGAGATCTCTCCATCTGATACACTCAGGTCTGGTTCAGGCCCTGAAAGTGCTGTTTGGTGTCCTGTGGTGTGAACACACTATCTTCCTCATTTATGTTGGGTCCTAGCAAAATAAGGTATGTGTCCTTGTTTAGGTCTTTTGGTGCAGATGGTTTCTGGGTCATATTTAGGGTTTCTGGACTATAGACTATATACACGCTCACCTTTATTTATCTCTTTTCATTCTTACAGATGTTCACTGGGGCGGGTGGTGTGCTGTCCATTTCACACATGAGAAAACTGACAGACTGAAGTAATGCTAGGTAGTTCAGCCAATTTTGTAAGGGGGACAAGTATTCAAATCTATATTGAATTCCACCCATTTAGAAGTTCATGTAGATCTTCAACTTTTAACTTTTATGATCATTAGAAGAGTTGCAGCCAGGTTTATCTATCTATCTATCTATCTATCTATCTATCTATCTATCTATCTAATCTATCTATCTATCTATCTATCTATCTATCTATCTATCTATCTATCTATCTATCTATCTATCCACCTACCTACCTACCTGTCTATCTGCCTATCTACCTGAAAGCAGAGAATCAGAGCAGGCAATGAAAAGAGCATGTAAGCATGTAAGGAGCATGTAAGAAAGATCAAGAGCAGCCGTACTTCTTTTGGTGACAACAAAAGGGCCAAAGTTTGCCTCATGAAATGATGGATCCTAGTTTTCCATATATACAACACATTGTTCATGGTAGAAACTATTTTATGTTGCTTAACTTGTATATATTAAATGCAACGTGCAGGCATTTTTTTTTTTACTAAAGAAAGATGTTATAGTGAACATGACAGTCTGTTTTACTTTGCAAAGATTGTAGACCGTTTTTTCCAGATGAATAAAGCTATCTGATTGTGAATCTTTTATTCATAGTACTTTATTCACACATAAACCTTTGCACTTCATTTTTTATTTTGTTCTTCAACTTGTAGGTAGAAAATCTGGTATATTAATTGTGAAAATTCTAGAGCTACATGAAGAATGCACCATGCAAGTTGCCACGTGTGAGCAGTTAGCTGGTCCGCCGTCCACCGCCCCTTGCCAAGGTGTGGCCCCTGCACCAGGAGCTTATCTGAAAGTTCTCTTTTCGCGGGAGACTGCAGGCTACCTCCAGGGCCGTCCCCAGGACATCATCCACATTTTCCCTCCCTGGTAAGTGCAAAGAACTGAGTCCAGCAGTCACCAACTATGAGTCTGTCTCACATGAAAACCCTTTTTTAAAAAATCAGGACCATTTTCATCATTTTATTGTAGAGAAATGCCAGGGAAGAAAGCCAGGAATTCACATAGGTTTTATGCAGCAGAAGCGCTGAATTGTCTTTGGTGGCTTGTTTGTGCTTCTGGCAGCAAAGTTTGATAATCTGAGGCAAGGGGGATGGGAAAACAAATGCATCATTCTTGCCAAAGGGGTGTGTTGTTCTAAGGTCTAGCTGTTTTTGTTTGTGTCTTTCTTTAAAAAATACTTTTTATAGGAGGCGTTATGTGACAATAGGGTAATACATAGTAATTTAGTATTTTTTGCTACTCAAGAATAAAAAGCATAAATTAAGACAAGATGGTTTGAAGTTCAGGAAGGTAAATGTTCACTATTAGGTCAGAAATTATTTTCAGCAGTACATATTTACTTTTGCATGTGATATTAATTTTCACCATGAAGATAAGGAAACCTTATTTCTTTTGAGGTAAAAGTTGAGCAGCCTTATTTTAAGAACTAATTATTTTTTGACAGTGCTTACTGTATATTAATTTGAGAAATCCTTAGATTTGGAATTGACAAAAGACTTCTAAATTTTTGTTAGAGGAGAGATCTCTTTGGAGTGATCATCGCTTCTTAGTGTCTGCAGTGACATCTTCAGGGTTCTTCGGTGGGCATGGGCTCCCTGTGAGCGCTGCCTTCTGGCTTGCTCACCCTCTTGCCTACATTCCTTCTCCTCCCTTGTTTTGGCTATTTTTCAGTTTCATCCTGTGAGTAATTTTTTTCTCCATAATTGTAGTATAGACTGAAAAATAAGAGTGACAGGAAATTCTGTATTTGCCCTAATCATGATATGTTCAGTTCTTACCATTTTTAGACAACATGTCATCCAGTGCAAATAGATTTTGCTTTCTAGGAGACAGACTGGAATGCTTGTATTAACAACGCTATATGGTACCAGATATTATGCTGTTATTAGGAATTTTAGCAAACACATAGAAGTGAAAATATCTGAGAGTAGAAGTAATTCCACAGATTACTTTGGAGTCATTTGACATAACTTTTTCAAAATGACCACCTTAAAGAAAGAAAATTGTGTAAATGTAGTTAATAAATGTAAGTATATGAAAGAAGTTTATTGTTTTAAAAATTTTTTATTTTACTTAGTACATATTTATAGTACATTATGATTGTATTCATTGTGGGGATTGGTACATGTACAGAAGATCTCATTTCTTTCTTTTTCCTTCTTTCCCTGCAACACCTTTTTAATTTTTTTTTTTTTTTTTTTTTTGGCCAGCATCAAGATTTTTTAAATCATTGTCACGTTAACTGTCGTAAATACAGATTGACAGCCAGGCCTACAGGCCAAAGAAACATAAAATACATAAGGCAATTATACTAAATCAAGATATACTTTCAGATACTTTGTCTGTGATTGATTATAATAACATCTTTTTATCTCCCTTTTTCCTATTGTCTGTCTTTTATTTTGCACTTTATATACTGAGTTTCTCATATAAGAGAAATTATGTGATATTTAAACTTATGTGTCTGATTTACTTCCCTTAACATTATGATTTCAGAGTACATTCTTTCTCCTACAAATGACTTTAGTTTATCTTTTTTATGGCAAAGTAGTACTCCCTTGTGTATAAATGCCACATTTTCTTTAGCCGTTCATCTACTGATGGATATACAGGCTAGTTCCAAGATTTTGCTGTTATGAATTGTATTGCTATAAACATGGGTGTGCATGTATCACTGTAATATGATACCTTTTAATTCTTTTGGGAAGACTAGAAGCGGAATAGCTAGATCAAATGGAAATTCTAGTTTTAGCTTTTTCAGGAATGTCCGTAGCAGGTGTACTAGTTTACATTCCCACCAACAATGTAGAAGAGTTCCTTTTTCCCCTGCAGCCTTGCCAGCATTTGTTATTATTTGATTTCATTCTTTTGGGGGTAAGGTGGAATATCAGTATTGTTTTAATTTGCATTTCTCCAATGGCCAGTGGTGTTCAGCATTTTTCAGTGTATTTATTGGCCATTTATACTACTTCTTTTGTGAAGTATGTGTTCATTGCACTTGCCCCTTTTGATTGGGTCTTTTATTTGGAGGGGTCTAATTTTTTTGAGTTCTTTATATTTCTAGATACTAATCCTCCTTCTGAGGAATAGCTAGAAAACTTTTTTTTCCATTATGTAAATTGTCTTTTCACTTCATTTGTTGTTTCTTTTGCTGTGCCAAAGCTTTTTAATTTGTTGTGGTCCCTTTTATTAATTCTTGGTACTATTTCCTGCACAAGTGGGGCTCGGTCCAGAAAGTCATTGCCTGTGTCTATGACTTCAAGAATTTTACCTATTTTATCTTTCACCAGGCAAAAGCTTTTTAATTTAATGTAATTCCATTTATTGATTATTTTTTCTTTGTGGTACTGGAGCTCGAACTCAGGGGCGTTGTGTCATGCAGCTGTGTCTCTAACATTTTCTTTTTTTTTTTTTTTTTTTTTTTTTTGAGACAGGATCCGCCAATGTAGTTCAGGCTTTCCTTGGGCTTACTATGTAGCTCAGGCTGACCTCAAACTTGTGGCAATCCTCTTTGCCGTAGCCTCCTGAGTGCTGGGATTACAAGTGTGTGCCACTACACCCAGCTCTCTGTTGATTCTTGATGTCTATGGTTTCGAGTGTTTCATGTATGTTTTTTTTTTTTTTTT